ACAAAGGAGTTAACTGACTGTAAAAGTCCAGTTTTCACCCTTGCCAAACTAAGCTGGAATATTGGAGATACATTTTGGCTGGACTAACAAGTCTATGAAAAGTCCACTTAACGAAATAGACATCCTGTTTGTAAACTGCCATTTGCGGTCATTTGCTGGATTAGCGAAGCACATGCACTACCAACTCGGCGTCAACAGATATTTTAAAAATCTGTTCATGTTTTTAATCAAGGTGCTCACTTAATCGGATGCACTTCACAATGTAAGACCCTTTAGAATACAAAATAGATTTGATTATTGATCAGATTGTCTTGACTGGGCCCAGCCATTTTGTTTTAAAGCAAATGCAAGTGATATGAGAGGTGGAATCTGATTGGTCAATAGGCGGGACATAGATGGGGCATAAGTCGTAATAGCCACCGGTGGTGCTACTATTGAGCCCAGAAATTCCAACCTAGTTCGACAAGGGGAAACCTGGACTTTTACAGTCAGTTAACTCCCTTGCGCCGGGAAGACAAGCTTAGACCGAACATAATTTTACTGGACTGAGGCTTCGGATTAGAGGCTAAAATTGCAGACTGGTGTTTTTCCATGCGGACTCTAAACTTTGTTTTTTTTGTATTTGTTGCACCATAGCTTTTATCACTCTTTAAAGTATGCTTTTTACTGAAATACTGCAAATAACTGGGTTTTTTAAAACTAAAACACAAATAACCTACCCTATTTTTAGATCATGGTTTGGAATAGTCTCAGGAATGAAGTTTTTGATAGGCAAGCCAGTGGTCGATAGTAGGACCAATAGAGGTGCGTGGTATTGTCGGGATACATTGTCGGCGTATGATTATTGGAAGGAAGTGACAACATGGTGTTGATGGCCTGTTGTATATACAAATTTGGTGAGGTGAAATGGGGCGTAACATCAAGATAACTGCACTTATATAGCAACGTGCATGCACGTGTGTTTATGTGTATGTGTGTGACTGTGTACGAGTCCGTACAAATGCCAAGTTTATTGTGCCAGCCCACTGAGATACGATGCCGCAGTTTAACATAAACAAAATATATTTAAATACTCCAATCAGACACAGTATACTGAGTCCGAGCCGACAAGTCATTGATTTAGTCCCTCAATGCCGAGCGCCAGGCAGGGTAACAACAAGTACAATATTTAACATCTTTTGGCATGACATGGCCAGGGATAGAACCCACGACCTTCTACTCTCTGGACGGACGCTCTACCACAAGAACACTGAGGCGGAATATACAAGTACCGTATTCGACGTAATAAGCGCCCAGGGCGCTCTCAAAATTAGAAATAGGGGGCTCTAATTAGAATATTATTTTGGTGGAAAAAACAGAGCTGAAAGATCGTAAATTTTGTTTATGCTGACAGCCTGAAATGTTGACATACGACAGATATATTTTTCCAGAAATTAATTGCTCATAATTAAGGGTGCATATAACACATAAGTGCGTATTATACACGAATACATAAGTCTTGTGTACATTGATCAATCAGAAGGGGTGCTGATTGGAATTGTTCAATAGCCAATATATTAGCAAATATCTCCGTGGGCGCTTATTAGATCGGGGCGCTTATTACGTCGAATACGGTATACTTTATCCAGGTAGATATATAGACAAGAAGCACTGTGTGTCAGGCCACCACATAATGATAGTAGTGATGGTGTTGGTGCCTCGGAGCTCTTAGCCTATCCCTACCTAGGCTAAGGGTAAGACCTCTTCTGATTTTCGTCTCTGGGACCAAGGCCAATAGTTATATTTCCAAGGTCACTGGACACAGATTAAGTCATAAATCGAAACAACAGTAATTAATCAGTGGCGTAGTAGGCGTCTCGTTCAGGATGGCTGACAGCCAACGTACAATACAACAGGGATTAGCAATTGGGATTGGCATCTTATAAGTAATGGCAATTAAGATTCATGATAAACATTTTACGGTTGTCCAACAATGGTTGTCTTGAATCAGTCGCTTTGACACTCATCCTAGCTCTGACAAGCACACAGACCTATTTTGACCTCTAATTCTCTGGAAGAACAAACTCGATGATTTAGGATTAATTATCATTAACATACCGTACTATATTATGACTATTATAGCTAACAACATGTCTAAGCAGAATTTCTGCAATGTCAAGATCACTAAACATTCTACAAGATCAAGTTTACCTATTTCCAGTAAGTATCTGTATGAAAAAAATAAAACCTGCATTTTATCAGTCTTCCCTATCTTCCGCGATTCTGTGGTCGCAGAATATTTTGCAAACTCAATGCAAAAATGTACCTATCTTGCTGAATTTTGCATTTATCTGCCACAGAACTTGTCAAATACACTGCAGAATTTTAACATGTTAGTCGAAAGCTGGTTTTGAAGGTGTAAACAGATATTTGTTTGGTTTTGAACTGAAGTTGATGATTGTGGTATTGCTTACGAGAAGTGCATGTCTATGTCTACTCTAGTGACCTGATTCATTTCCGTACTTGCTGTGTAACGCTGCATTAGTATTAGTCAAGCTATATGACGGCAGCCTGTAAATGATCGAGTCAAGGATGAATGACAGTGATAGACAATGTGAACAAAGATCCACGCTGTCAGGGTATGATGACATGTCATCAACCAATCACCGAGTCTGACCACCCGATGCTGTTAGTCGCCTTTAACGACAAGCACAGTCGCATTTTAGTAACCTCTTGAACTGTGTTTTTTTTGTTTGTCGTTTAAATCGCACTCAGCAATATTCCAGCTATATGACAGTGGTCTGTAAATAATTGAGTCTGGACCACACAATCCAGTGATTAACCTCATGAGCATCAATCAACACAATTTGGATACGGTGACATGCATCAACAAGTCAGCGAGCCGGACCACCTGATCCCTTAAGTCGCCTCTTACTTGTCAGCTGGTGGGTGAGAAAGTGTGGTTTAAAGCCTCTTTGAGCAGTATTCCAGTTATATCACAGCGTGTCAGCTTGATGTGGGAGGAAAGCCTGAAGTGATGCAGGTCTCAGAAACTTACCACTTTGCTGAAACCCACGAGCACGGGTTTACTTGTTTGTTTGTTGTTTAACGCCGCACTCAGCAATATTCCAGCTATATGACAGCGGTCTGTAAATAATGGAGTCTGGACCACAAAATACAGTGACAACATCATGAGCATCAATCAACACAATTTGGATACGGTGACATGCATCAACAAGTCAGCAAGCATGAGCACATTCTGTTAGCATACACTGAAGTTGACTGAAGTTTTATCTTTATGCAAATGTGTGCATTGTCAGAAAGAAATGTGAAGATTTGTCATTTATAGTGTAACAATGAGTTCTAGATATTTTTTGCCATAAAAAACAACATAATCTCGTGACTAACCACGGGTCTGGGTAGTCTAGTGGGTACTCTGGTCCTACTCAGTACCCAACCGACCTGAGTACCAAAGTTACCATGGTTACCTGTCCCAGCCCTATTCTAACTATGTGAGTTGGAATCATCTTTTTTTTTCAATAAGTTTCATGTGATTCAGTTTGTCTGGGTTTCCAGAATGACTAATACCCCGTTCACATGCACCTCTATACATATGTGTGCATAGTTGCATAGGTGTGTGTATACTTGTCATTAGAACGTGTTTACTCATTTGTGTATATTTATACCACGAGCAAAATTACATACGTCTGGAGCAGGAGCAAATGTAAATTTGCACTGTGTGTATATGTTGCAATGGGAACGTTAATGCCAACGTCATAGGACGATTGAATTAATATACTCACAGCCAAAAGAAACGTGAACCACAGAAACATACAGAGAAGTATGTACGTTAAGAAGAGATGTTTCTAATGTGTACCACTTAATGACAAAACTTCAATCAGTCAAATTTTACCACAAAGTGTCTCCATTTTTATCACGATATGCTGCACGTGTTTCCAAACTTTACAAGCTAATCCTGCACAAGACAAATGGTGCATCACAAATAATGGATCTAGGACATCACTTGTGATGCATTCATGAGCGTCTGTCTACACAGCATACCAGTATGTTCATTTGTGCGTTGAACCAATCTAAGATTTCTTGAATATGAGTAATGACATATGTCTAGTATTTGTGTTTCCGCTGTCCGGGTATGGCGGACGGTGTTTCCTTTTGGTTTCAAGGAGACCAAAAAAATTGTAAAGTAACTCTCTTCTCATTCAACTTCGATTGGAAAACAACCTGTTTTCTGTCAAAAGTTGTGAAAAAGATGACAAATATACAATAAATGTGCCTTACACAATTTACATACTTTATTTACACACCTAAGATGCTTTTCATGTGAACGCATAGTAAATTTACATATACACACATATATATATAGTTAACTTACACATGTGTAAAATTTGTTATCCTAACTCATTACGAAACGAATAGCAAACCTGTTCTCCCACTTGGAAAACGAAAAATAGTTGTTGGTGAAACAGAGTAAGTCTACCTTCGTGAAAGATCAAATTAATTGCAAACGTATTCTTAACTGCAACAGACAAATTGATTTTTTTTACGTGAAGGACCCTAAATGTATTCTGAAAACAACCTGTCACATAGTTCTGAGTGAAAAAAAAGTCTTGTCACTAGCAACTTAAATTATCAACTCACGGTTCAATGAACACGGAAAGTAGGTCAGTGTTATTTTTAGATAAAATCACGTGGAAATCACCAAGCATGAAAACAATCTTTCGAACGTCTCTGGGAAACGTCTCCTGGACATAAATAGTGTTTAGATACGTTTACCTATCTATACATATGAATTAGACTGACTGCATGAAATGTGCATGCGAATTTACCATATTGCATTCTTCTGCACAAAAGTACATGCCAACAATATTGACTCTTGAATACACTCACCGACAGCAGTTTGACAGGTGGTTAAACGCCGGTATGCATTTCAATGAGGAACTGACATGTAAATCGTGCTGAAAATAAATGATGAGTGAAATTTGTCCAAAGAATTCACTTACTACTTGTGCTGCTAGACTATTCCACCTGCTTAGAATATTCCAAGACGAAGTTCAGCCCTCAAACATAAACAAGTCTTCTCTGCTCAAACCGTACACTCACTTCCGGAAGAGACGAAGCAGTCAGTGGACAAACCTGATTGGTTAATCTTGTGTCATGTGACATAGGTGACAGGGGTCAGCGCGTGGCAGGTGGGAGGTGTCGGAATATATTCCCAGTGCAACAGGTGATGGTTGCATGAAGGATGAATATTGATTTACAATTGTCTGTGCATATAGGGAGACACGCCAGTTCTATAATTATGTTATGGATACAATAAGTGTCATTGTTGGAGGGCGTGTCGTATTTTGACAAACACAGCTATAAACTTTCTGTCACTTGTTTTACAGTATAAGAGAGAGCGTATATATATATAATACATTAAAACAATTTTGAAATGACATTTGTGTGTGTCGTATTGAAATCCTTTACAACGGAACGCCATGTGATGTAAAATACGTGGTCGATAAATGCTATAAAACATTTTAGATTTAGTACCAGTACATTATAGTTGCGTGAACATTTATACGTCGGCGTGAGCGTTATCAATGATCGACATTTAAAGAGTTGTTTTAGATCGGCGGCATTTTACCAGGGCGGTCTAAAAGTAGCTCTGTAAAACTCATCTTTCACACAATTTGCTGTATCTCTATGTCACTAAATCCACATGTACTAGACATGCCTTTTGTTTCTTTGTTGTATAACGCCACACTCGGCAATATTCCAGCTTTATGACGGCGGTCTGTAAATAATCGAGTCTGAATCAGAAAATCTTGTGATTGACATAATTAAGCATCGATCTATATATGTAACTGAGATACGATGACGTGCATCATTCGATCCCGTTAGTCACCTCTTACGACACGCATAGACACCTCTTACAATAAGCATGTGTTGCTGATGACCTAGCTATTCCAACCAAGATCTTCACGGGTCAGGGAGTCATGTAATATTGTCTGTAAAATGTACGGATATGTTGAATATATAAAGGTGGCTATTGCCACGCCATAACAAATTAAACAGTCATTCTTTGGATTTCTAAAATTCTAGTAAAGTATATCAATCTAATTGAAATCGGAGTACAAGTTCAGATTTTGATGAGATTGATAAAACATATTACAAGAAAGGAATGAATGCATAAAATCTCTGTCTTTTTCATACAACTCGCATTTGTCAACCATATTGTTTGTTGTTTAACACCGCACTCAGCAATATTCAAGCTATATATTCGAGTCTGGACCAGACAATCCAGTGATTGACATCATGCACATCGATCCACGCAATTGGAACACGATGACATGCATCAACAAAGTCAGCGAGCCTGACCACCCGATCCCGTTAGTCGCCTCTTAGAGGCATGGGTTGCTGAAGACCTATTCTACACGGGTCCATTCGTATTGTAGGGAGGTGGGGTTGCCTAGTGGTTAAAACGTTCGCTCGTCACGCCGAAGACGCAGGTTCGATTCCTGACATGGTTACAATGTGTGAAGCCGTGATATTGCGGGGAAATTGCACAAAGCGGCGAAAAACCATACTCACTCATTACCACTAGCACCAGCACCAGCACCAGCACCAACACCAACACCAACACCATCATCATCATCATCATCATCATCATCAGTCCCCATATATTAGTAAAAACACATTCTAACATAGTTCCACAGTTTCCCCTAACTATTGGATGCTTTGCATGTTGGTCTTCGGTGCCTTCGCTGGGCAGAGTTGGGTCCGTTAGACGTCCCAGAAGACTATATGGTCCTGGGTTCGAATTCCAGATTCACCCGATTATGATCCATGGTTCGTGAGCACAATACCTGCTCGTGGGTTTCACCAAAGTGGTAAACGTCAAAGAACTGCGTCACTACGGTCTTTCCTGTCAAATTAATCTGACACAACGTGATATAACTAAAATACTGTTCAGACCGGCGTTTATCGAAGTCCGTGGGATACAGAGCGATACCATAACTAACCCAAGTTAACCGTTACACACTTTACAACTACAGAAGCGAGTAAGATGGGTTAAACGCCGCTTTGAACAGTACCGTATTCCCTCTAGTAGACCCCCGGGCTTCTATTTATTTCGGACTACCTTTGACCCGGCGTCAATTGGAAGCCCGGCTTCTATTAATACCCCCATTTCACTATGACCACGAATGTCCCGAATCGTCACGAAATAGAAATATTTTGTGTTCGTAGATATCCGTAGGGATATCCAAAAAGGGATCATTAATTGTATCAATTGATCGATCCGGCGTCTATTAGAGGCCCGGCTTCTATTTTTTGCACTGAACAATTGACCCGGCTTCTATTAGAGGCCCGGCGTCTAATAGAGGAAATACGGTATGTTCCAGTCATATCACGGCGTGTCAGAATGATGTGGGAGGAAATCCCGAAATGACGCAGGTCAGACGAAAGGACCAACGACCACGTCGACGGTGAATACTAGCCGACAGCAGTCAGCCACAGATGGGGTCTCCGCAACAGGGATATCGCTGCTCGGTCCCGATGTGCGTTCTGTCACGTGCCTACCGACGTGTCGACTGTTATTCAACCGTGCCGTCCTGGATTTTGTCCCTGAGTTTGTGCTCCTTATTTACCTCAAATAACTTTCAGACACGTTATATATATATATCTTGCCACTAACTCATTGGCGCTATGTAGACTTCAGGAGCATATCCACTAAGGCTTAAAGCAAACAGTGCTAATATAAGGCGATTTCTTTTCGTAAATTAATGACCGATTCCACAAATAAATTAATGACCGATTCCACAAATTAAATGCCCTCTCCACCCGGTGTAAATCCACCTCCTTGAAAAAAAACTCCCCCTTACTCTATACCCCGCCCTATTCTATGTAAAATTGTCCACATTTTTATTTGTATATTATTGACGATATCTAGCGTTCGGAATGAATATGCCTGAAAAGTACAGTCGAAACTCTTTGTGTCGAACTTGGATGTGTCGAATTCCCGGTTGTCTCGAACCCTTTGGGAAACCCAAATATCCAAATTAAGTCTCGAACACCGGAAAACTCGAACATTTTTCCAGGTCCCCAAGAGTTCGACACAGGTTCGAATGTTTTCGATACAACACCCCCTATCCCAAACCAACACCACTGTACAATGCGGGGGGTCGAAACCGGTCTTCGGGGTGACGTCAACGAGACAACGATTTAACCACCTTGCTACCCGACAACGACCGATAAAATAAATGTATATGGGGGTAGGGTTTATCTTTGTTCTGAAAGTTGGGAAAAATGTAATTTTGTTAAAATTTGGACTTTGTTTTAAAAATTTAGTGGCATGTTAACAATGCAATCAATGCAGTTTGTAAAACTAATCATTAAAAAGAAAAGTAACCTCTACCAAGTCATTATAGTTGTAAAAATTATGTGTGTGTTGGCGCTCATCTTTGTGAAAGAATGAGTTTTCCTAGGCCTTACAAAAACAAATACAGTCGAACCTCTTTATCTCGAATGTACCGATATCTTGAACCTATTCTCCGGTCCCGACCGCCTCACTATGTAATTACATGTACATTTGCGCGCTTATCTTGAAATCCAGATAACAATATACATGGCACTATCTCGAACCTTGGAGTCGTTCCAATATTTGACCTTACTACAGAAATGTCCGGATATCTCGAAGTTACAACACAGTCCCGCTAGGTTCGAGATAAGGGGGTTGGACTGCAGCTGTTTTGGAAGTGTGATTCTCACGCTGACACGCCATGGTTTGACTGAAATACGGTTCACAGCAGTGGCAAAGCATGCTCACTCACTCATAAGATACACACACGCCATTAATGTTTCCTCTCCTGGTGGTTTCTGTGTTGGCCATTTGTGAGTATGGTTTTACTTTTACACCGCTTCGAACAATATTCCAACAATATCACGACGGGAGACACCAGAAAAGGGTTTCACAGATTGTACCCTTGTGGAGAATCGAGTGAGTGAGTGAGTGAGTTGGGTTTAACGCCGCTTTTAACAGTATTCCAGTTATATCACGGCGTGTCGGCTTAATGTGGGAGGAAAGCCCGAAGTGATGCAGGTCTCAGACGTTTACCACTTCGGTGAAACCCACGAGCACGGGTATGGTGCTGACAAACCTAGAAACATAATCGGGGGGAACCGGGATTCGAACCCTCAATCATAGGTTTCTGGCGTGCCCAAGGGACGCAACTCTGCACAGCGAATCGCGGCGCCTTAGACGACTGGGCCACCCATGCCCCCTGGGTCTTTGGAGTGACGAGCAAATGTTTCAACCACTAGGCTACCCCACCACCCGAGACCATTTGTGAGAGGTCGATAACATAACATAACGGGCAACACAATGTGACCACCTGATCCCCAGTTTGTCTGTATCCCTAAGGCTCGTGAAGATCCGGGTTAGAATTGGTCTTAGCAACCCATGCTTGTAGTATTTGTTTGTTTGTTTGAAACTTCCCACTTTGCTGAAACCCACGAGCAGGGGTTTATTTGTTTGTTTGTTTGTTGTGTGATGCCGCACTCAGCAATATTCCAGATATATGACGACGGTCAGTTAAAAAATCGAGTCTGGACCAGTCAATCCAGTGACTGATACCATGACAGTGATAGACAATGAGAACAAAGATCAATGTCGTCAGGGTACGATGACATGCCATCAATCAAGTCACGAGCCTGACCACCTGATCCCTTTAGTTACCTCTTGAAATGTGTTTGTTTGTCGTTTAACGCAGCACTCAGGAATATTCCAGCTATATATGACGGCGGTCTGTAAGTATTTGACTCTGGAACACACAATCTAGTGATTGACATCATGAGCATCAATCCACACAATTGTGAAACGATGACATGCATCAACCACCCGATCCATTAGTCACCTCTTACGACAAGCATAGTCGCCTTTTATACGGCAAGCATGGGTTTCTGAAGACCTGTTCTACACCGGATCTTCACGGGTTAAACTTGTAGTAAGAGGTCATTAACGGGATCGGGTGGTCAGGCTCGTTGACTTGGTTGATGCATGTCTTGTGTCTTCGTATCCCAATTGCATAGACCGATGCTCATTGTGTTGCTCTGGGTTGTCTGGTCCAGACTCAATTATTTACAAACCGCAGTAATGTAGGTGAAATATTGCTGTGTGCGGCTTCGAACAGTATTACTTCTGGCAACTTAATATTGGAGAAATACACACACTGACGCAGATCGCATAGTTTACTGCCTAGGCGAAAACTGTGAGCATCGATATGGTACGACAGACTTGAATTATAACCAGCGGATCCTGACGAGGGACATAAACGCCAAGCTTCTTCAGGACTGTAACGACATTATCGAAGCATTATAAAATACCACTGCGTCTCGATGGTTTGCAATGAATGTGCTATGATTTTACTACGCTTCCAATGCTTAACGTTTCGCGGCGAGGTAAAATGGTGTTTAACGTCACGCGTTCAAGATCATTGTACTTAATGAATACTTATATATAAAGACGTTAGTGTGTGCATGCTTGTACTTGTCCAGGCTAATGATAGTGCTCCCCACTGATATTCCTCGTGGCAGTTTAAGGTTTAACAAACTATTTCAAGCTGTATTCGTGTGAGTATTGTGTGCATCACTCGCCATCTCTACCTTTAGCAATTGTGTTTTTCACACTTGAGTGAGAATGGTTTTATGCCGCTTTTAGCAATATTCCAGCAATATTCCAGCAATATCAGGGCGATGGACACTTGAAATGGGCTTCACACATTGTACCCATGTCGGGAATCAAACCGGGTCTACAGTGTGATGAGCGAACGCTTTAACCACTGGGCCACCCGATCGCCCCTCTTTCACGCTTGAAGTGTGTAATTGTTGTCTAAGTCCCAATTTGTCTGCCAAGATTGTTGCTCACAATATCGATCAATGGATCAAAAGTCCAAACACAATTTTTTACAGACCACTGATTGGAATTTTGCTGAGAGCAGTGTTAAACAACTAACAAAATCTTACTTGACAGTAAGTATCAAACAGGGCATGGAGTCTACCTTTGTATGCTTGTGTTTGTTTGTTGACAAGACAACCCAGTAATTGATAACATGAGCATTGATCCACACATTTGTGAAACGATGACATGCATCAACCAAGTCAGCAAGTCTGACCACCTGATCTCGTTAGTCGCCTTTTATGACAAGCATGGGTTGCTGAACACTCATTTTCCCCCCGGATCTTCACGGGTCTCAACCAAGTCAGCGACCTGACCAGCCGATCCCATTAATCGCCTCTTACAACAAGCATAGTCGCCTTTTACGGCAAGCATGGGTTTATGAAGACCTATTCTACCCCGGACCTTCACCAGTCTGACAGATGCCAGACAAAAGTTCAGTCAGGTGAGCCAAAAAAGAACACAAAAGATGGAGATGTGATCTGCCTTTAATTGATGGAAACACACAAGGGCACCTGCTCACAGGAGGCCCTGGCATCTGGCCCTGGCTATGTCAAGTGACAACAAGTCCCATTACTGATCATACTCCACACCAAATGACTTTCGACAACTGACACACAATGTAGATTGCACATAGTATACACAAATATACATGTTTCTCAAGATTCACAATTGGTCATTAACTGTCCTGATCTACTTCAGCACAACACATGATATGGACAAGTGAAACGAGGTCAGAAATAAGGATAGTTTCATCCTGATCCATGTTCGGAATAAAGGATGAAAGTCACTGGGTCCTTTTCAAAACCTTTAGGCCCTTTTTTTTTTATTTGTTGAAATATATTTTTGCTGAAAATTAGAAAAAAATTAATAATATTTCACCAAATCGTTCAGTCAACAAATCGTAGCGAAAGAGTTATGTCCCTTGTCTTGATACACAGTCTTTGACGAAAGTAACTCCCTTTGTCTTCAGAGAAAAAACTTGAAGCTTCCAGCAAATACTGGCACTAAAGATGGTGGATCATTCTATCACCAACAGGTAGTACATGTAAAAGCATTTTGTGATCCCGTTTAAAATCAGAGAGAGCTGAAGAGCTATTTTATTCCTTCCTCTGAAATCTGGCTTTGTAAAAGACATCTGTGATTCAACAAATAATTATATAATAGCTTATATAAAAGAACTTCTTGAGGTTGCCTAGACACCATACAAGAAGAACCCAGGCACACCGGAACCCCCTTAATTTCTGACAATGATCGATGAACTTTCAACTTGAGAGCAACAACATGACTTATACGAGTGAAGTACATAGACACGATGTGGTCGGTTAGAACTTGAGGTTGCCTATTGATGGCAAGTCCGGGAGCTTGATGTCTTTGATCTTCTGTGGAATGTTCATGTCCTTGACGGCCGACACAGCTCGAGCTGGAGCTGCAGCAATGCCCGCCTGAAACACCGAGTTGTCCATTTATGGTCAATACCATACAAAATAACTCTTGTGTTTGGGGGACCAACCATTTGATATTGTGGGAGGGAGGATTTGTTTGGCAAAGATGATTTGCTAACCCCAGGTTTTACGAAAAAGGAATTATTCACTGCTGATGCTGGATGTCGTGAAAAAGGAGTGTTAAAGAAGTCACAATTGTCTAACTTCTCCATGTTCCTGAGGCAAGAAAGGCAGCTCCCTTCAAAGTCTAGTTTTTACATCGGCCGAAGCAAGAGAGGCAACTCTCCTGTATCAAAGTCTAGTTTTCACATCGGTCGGGGGAGGAGAGGCAACTCGCCTAAATCAAAGTCAAGTATTTACATCTGCTGAGACAAGAGAGGCAACTTTTCTAAATCAAAGTCTAGCTTTTACATCTGCTGAGGCGAGAGGGCAACTTTTCTAAATCAAAGTCTAGGTTTGACATTTCCCCGAGGCAGGAGTAACTCGCCTGTATCAAAGTCTAGTTTTTACATCTGCTGAGGCAAGAGAGGCAACTTTTCTAAATCAAAGTCTAGTTTTCACATCTGCCGAAGCAAGAGGAGCAACTTTTCTAAATCAAAGTCTAGGTTTGACATTTTCCCGAGGCAGGAGTAAACTCACCTGTATCAAAGTCTAGTTTTTACATCTGCTTAGGCAAGAGAGGCAACTTTTCTAAATCAAAGTCTAGGTTTGACATTTCCCCGAGGCAGGAGTAAACTCACCTGTATCAAAGTCTAGTTTTTACATCTGCTGAGGCAAGAGAGGCAACTTTTCTAAATCAAAGTCTAGTTTTCACATCTGCCGAAGCAAGAGGAGCAACTTTTCTAAATCAAAGTCTAGGTTTGACATTTTCCCGAAGCAGGAGTAAACTCACCTGTATCAAAGTCTAGTTTTCACATCTGCTGAGGCAAGAGAGGCAACTTTTCTAAATCAAAGTCTAGGTTTTACATTTTCCACACATTGTCAAAGAGAGAGGCTCATTTGACTTCTGTGAGTTATACATGGCCCTGCCTGGTGTTGGAGGAACGACATGTATGCATACGATGCAAAAATAAAAACAAAGGGATCAGCTTGAAAAGATAAAAGAATTGGTTCTCAGACAATGACTTTTGAAAATATTGTGTATGCGGGTGGTGTTTTTTTGTTGTTGCTTGTTCAAACTAGTATGCAAGCATAAGGTTTTTTAATTTTAATTTATTTTTTTTCAATGGAAATAAATACTAAACTTGCAACAAACTTCATGATGATGCAGGCGGTGCCTGAGAACCAAGACTAACTTTTTAGCAATATTAAAACTAACAATATCATTTTATAAAACACAAGAAATTAAATATTGTTTCTGCACTTATTTTTGCAAAGGTGTGGGGCACTCTGATCAGTGAAAGCAGACTGTTTTGGGTGACTGAGCAATATTTGTGTGGCTACCTCTTGCTTCTCCATCTTGTTCTGCTCCTCGATGCGGGTGAGAATCTCCGTCATGTTCGTCTCCAGCACCATCCCACCCATCACCAGCTCCGCCAGGATGTAGTGGACCTGAAAGTGAGTGAGTGAGTGAGTGAGTGAGAGAGTGAGAGAGTGGGTGGGTGGGTGAAAGTGAGTGAGTGAGTGAGAGAGTGAGAGAGTGGGTGGGTGGGTGAAAGTGAGTGAGTGAGTGAGAGAGAGAGTGGGTGGGTGGGTGGGTGAGAGTGAGTTAGTGAGTGAGTGAGTGAGAGGGTGGGTGGGTGAGAGTGAGTGAGTGAGTGAGTGAGTGAGTGAGTGAGAGAGTGGGTGGGTGGGTGAGAGTGAGTGAGTGAGTGAATGAGTGAGTGAGTGAGAGAGTGGGTGAGAGAGTGGGTGGGTGGGTGAGAGTGTGAGTGAGTGAGTGAGTGAGAGAGAGAGTGGGTGGGTGGGTGGGTGAGAGTGAGTTAGTGAGTGAGTGAGTGAGTGAGAGAGTGGGTGAGAGAGTGGGTGGGTGAGAGTGAGTGAGTGAGTGAGTGAGAGAGTGGGTGGGTGGGTGAGAGTGAGTGAGTGAGTGAGTGAGAGGGTGGGTGGGTGAGAGTGAGTGAGTGAGTGAGTGAATGAGTGAGTGAGTGAGAGAGTGGGTGAGAGAGTGGGTGGGTGGGTGAGAGTGAGTGAGTGAGTGAGAGGGTGGGTGGGTGAGTGAGTGAGTGAGTGAGTGAGTGAGTGAGTGAGTGAGTGAGTGAGTGAGTAGGGATTTATCAAGCATCCAAAAACTTGGTGCCCTTGGCAAGCAAATTGAGGAGCAAGTGTTATATTTTGCTATAATAGGGATTATTTTTATTTTCTTTATTTCTGCAATTATGTGAAACGAAGCAATAACACCTCTTCCACTTTATTGGCAGTGTCAACAATTTCCAAAGGAGCTAATTTCAAATGAACTAACTATCAAATCAATGTATCACTCATACGCGAGTGACTGGTCATAGTTTTCACATCAGTTTCAGCCATATTTTAGCCATATTATGGCATGGGACATAGGATTTGTTTGTTTGTTGTTCAACGCTGCACTCAGCAACATTCCAGAAATATGACGGGGTCTGGAAATAATCAAGTCTGGACCAGACAATCCAGTGATTGACATCATGAGCATTGATCCACACAAATGGGATATATATGCATCAACCAAGTCAGCGAGCCTGACCCCCCGATCCAGCTTCTTTCGACAAGCATAGTCGCCTTTTATGGCAAGCATGGGTTGCTGAAGACCTATTCTACCCCGGATCTTCACAGGTCGGGATATAGGATATGAGCTTCACACATTGTATCCATGCAAGGAATCAAACCCTGATTTTTGGCGACATGAGCAAACACCTTAACTACTAGGCTACCCCATCTTCCCTTGAACATGTTGAATGACATGACAATACTGCTATACTTACAGGTCCATACATCAAAGGAGATTACTCAATGAGAATTATGAGTCTTGTAGATGCATCCCCAGATCATAGGAATTGGATCAAAATGTTCGTTTGTAGCTGTAGCTGTCTAATTTAGAGTGTAGTAGGTTGCAAACAGCCACAATAAAAGGTTTGTTTTGTTTGTTTGGACAATTTTTCAGCTATATGATGGCCGTCTGTAAATGATGAAGTCTGGTCCATACAATCCACTGATTGACATCATGAGCATCAGTCGACGCAATTGGGATACATTGACATGCATCAACAAATGTCAGCAAGCCTGACCATCCGATCTCATTAGTCACGTCTTAAGACAAGCATGGCATGTTGAAGGTTACTGTATTTGACGTAATAAGCGCCCAGGGCGCTCTCAAAATTAGAAATTGGGGGCTCTTATTAGAATAGTATTTTGGTGGAAAAAAACAGAGTTGAAAGATAAATTTCGCTGTTTATGCTGACAGCCTGAAATGTTTATATACGACAGATATATATTTCCAGAATTTAATTGCCCATAATTAAGGGTGCATATAACACACAAGTGCGTATTATACACGAATAAATAAGTCTTATGTACATTGATCAATTGGAAGGGGTGCTAATTGGGATTGTTCACTAGCCAATATATTAGCAAATATCGCTGTGGGTGGTTATTAGAGCGGGGCGCTTATTACGACGAATACTGTAATTCTAACCCAGGTCTACACGGGATATGCCAGACAGAGTACAATTTGATGATAAGTCTGAATCAGAGAGTTTTAGGTCAGTTTGAGTAATGATAGTTTGTTAAGGAACTGAGGGGACTGGCGAAAAAGTCTGGAGTTCACCGAAATCCGAATTTGACAGAGTCCGATTTGGACAGATTCCACTGGCTGAGAGGGAAGCGGACACATACCTTGTCTACATGGAAGATCAAGTCCAGCTCACAGACGTTCTCAAAACACTTGTCTAGCGTCTCCACAAATACCTGCAAATAACATGTTCAACATATTCAAGTTTATGTCAGATTAGTAAAGGAGAGCTACACCTACACCTGCCTCGTCCTTTTGCTCTCACAAATTATGATTTGGGTTTTACGCTTTTAGCAATATTCCTGCTTTACACATTGCGACCATGTGGGAATATAAATCAAACTCGGGTCTTCGGCGTGACAAGTGAATGCTTTAACCACTAGGCTACCCTTCACCTACACAAATTATGACGTACAGTCAAACCCCAGTTCTCACGCACTTGGATGTGCCGAACCCCAGTTGTGTCGAACTCACAATTTAGTCCTGGCAAAGTACGATATTTATAGGATTGCACGGAATATTGGTATAATGGAATATTTATTCCAAAGGATACATATTGCAATAGTTCTGGTATACTGGGTAAAATAACAAAACAAATTCTGTTATTATTTGTAACTTTTAACCTAAAATCTAAACAGAAATTCATTCACAAACTGGAGGTCAGTGACCATTGTGGGATCGAATCCTGGTTCGCCCCGATTATGTTTCTAGGTTTGTCAGCACCATACCCGTGCTCGTGGGTTTCACCGAAGTGGTAAACGTCTGAGACTCGCATTACTTCAGGCTTTCCTCCCACATTAAGCTCACACACCGTGATATAACTGTATAGAGATATCTGTATACAAATGTTTTGCCAAAACAGTATATTTATCACTATTTAAACCTGCATGTGTCAAATTCACAATTGCCTTGAATTCAGTTTATAATCACATGAGTTAAAATTAGTGAAAGCGAGTCCATCTTCCCAAGGCAATAGAGTTAACTGACTTTAAAAGTCCAGTTTCCACCCTTGCCGAACTGGGCTGGAATTCCTGGGCTCGATCGTAGCGCCACCTGAGGCTATATCGAGTTATGTCCCTTCCATGCCTTTCCAATTGACCAATCAGATGCCACCTCTCGTATCACTTGCATTTGCTTCAAATAAAATGGCTGCGCCCAGTCAAGACGATCTGAGCGATAATCAAGATCTATATTGTGATAAAACGTGTCTTACATCATGAAGTGCATCAAATCATGTAAGCACCGTGATTAAAACATGCAGAGATTTAGAAAAGATCTATTGACAACGAGTTGGCGGTGCACATGTCTTGCAAATCTTTCAATCAACCAAAATCTGCATGACAGTTTTACAAACCGGATTTCGATTTCGTTGCACGATTTTGATGGGACTATGCATGGACTCAGTCCAGCCAAAATGTAACTCCATAATACCAGTAGTAACCTCAATCTGATCTTGTGGATAGAGCTGAATAGTTTGATAGACATTACTTAGAAGTTGACGGATGACAAAGTAGACACAATTTATGGATAACAACTTCCTTAATTACGGTGAAGGCGATGTTTCGGTATAGATCCTTGTACCGATGTCAAGCAAGACTGAATGATTGACAAAGTACAGAATATATACAGTAGGTGGAGGATTAACAGTAGAGGATTAACAGTAGAGGATTAACAGTAGAGGATTAACAGAAACAACAATTGCATGCATGAGTGGGATAACATGAGCAGGTTAAGTAATGACAACAGAAAGATGATACTGTAGCAACATGATGGACAGAACACATGAAACATGATGGACAGAACACATGAAACATGATGGACAGAACACATGAGAACCCCGCCTTTACAATAATTAAAGAAGTTGTCATCCATAAATTGTGATTACCTTTAGTGGATAGAGCGTCTGAAAGTCACTGGTTCAGTCTCCTGGCTGCATAATACTAACACATGTTAACAGATGGTGCTTGTTGTTACCCTGCCTGATGCTTGGCATTAAGCGAGTAAGTGAGTTGGTTTTAAGGCCGCTTTGAACAGTGTGGGAGAAAAGCCAAAAGTGATGCAGGTCTCAAACCTTTACCATTTTGATGAAATACAAAGCAAGGGTATGGTGATGACAAACCTAGAAAAATTAATCGGAGCGAACCAGTATTCGAACCCACAATCATGTTCATTGCATGCCCAAGGGACGCAACTTTGTACAGCAAACTGCGGTGCCTCAGACGACTGGGATAAAACAAGGCCTGGTCATCTCGGAGTCAGTATACTGACCTGTATCAAGTCTAGAATCCCCAGCTCGCTTTCCGAGGAGTCCACACAGAACACAAAGTACAGCGTGGCGTAGTGACGGTAGATCAACTTGTAATCAGAGCCTCCGATGAGCCTGCAGGGGAGAAGAGTGAGTGAGTGTGGTTTTACGCCGCTTTTAGCAATATTCCAGCAATATCACGGCGGGGGACACCAGAAATGGGCTTCACCATGTCGGGAATCGAACCCGGGTCTTCGGCGTGACGAGCGAACGCTTTAACCACTAAGCTACCCGACCGCCCCTGCAGGGGAGAAGACAAGGATGAGTGAGTCATGGGCTTTTTGTTTGGAATACTACATAAATCCTTGGGCCTGTAAATAATCAAGTCTGGACAATCCAGTAGTCGATATTGAGAGCAATGATCAACACTGTCGGGGTCTGTTTGTTTGTTTGTTGTTTAACGCCGCAATATTACAGCTATATGATGGCGGTCTGTAAATAATTGAGTCTGGACCAGACAATCCAGTGATTGACATCATGAGCATCGATCTGTGCAATTGGGATCGATGACATGCATCAAGCAAGTCAGCGAGTCTGACCACCAGATCCCGTTAGTCGCCTTTTACTACAACTTTAGTCGCCTTTTACGGCAAGCATGGGTTGCTGAAGACCTATTCTACCCCGAAATCTTCAGGGGTCCTGTTGGGGTCTGATAAAACACTATCAACCAAGTCACTGAGCCTGTGACCACCCAATCCTCTTGGTTGCTTCTTACGACTAACATAGGTTATTCGGGAATTATAGCTAAAATGGATAGAATTATCATTAAACCGCCCGCATGTTATCAGAAATGAGCGGGCCTCTGTGACTTGACAATGCCCTCATATTGCTTAAAGCCGGGCCATTATCAAGCCCGTTGTAAGGTGACGTCATAGGATAGGATAGGTGACATCACGTTCAATAGTGACGTCATCTGTTTTTTTCTATGACGTTTCCATATTTGTAAAAGGGGTCAGTGACATTCGTGTTGATTGCAGTAGATTGTTGTTTCTTTTTATTTGATAAAAAATTCCATCCATTTTAGCAATAATAACGGAAATGCTATTTTTCATGGCATTATCATTTGCAGAAGCCCTTGGTCTTTTCAACTGCCCTCCTTTGTCAGGCAGTTAATGGAAGACCTCGGGCTTCTGCAAATGATAATGCCCTGAAAAATAGCGTTACCCTCATACTATTCTAACCTAGAATACCCACAGGGGTCTGTTAAAGCAAAAGAATCTGGAAATGGTTAAACAATGGTAACAACAGTGGATCTGAAAACCAATTTGTAGAAACCCAGACACCTTATAAACATGTAATTATTTCAGCATGAAACTGTCAGTTTTAACCTAGCATACAAGACAGTGTTAGTACATTGATTGAAAGAATAATCTGAAGTCAAGTCAGATTGACATTGAAGACATCCTTACGTTCCCCCTTCCAGGAAGTTGCAGACATTGTCGTCCCTCTTTGACACGAGATGAAATGTTTCCCTGATGATTTGCTGCTGAATGTCTTCCGCCTGTAACCATGGCAACCAGGACATAAACATGAAGATTCAACATGCAGTGTTATAATTATAACTGATGTGAATACTGTTCCAAGCCAGTGCCTGCAATAGCATGACCTGTAAATTATAAGAGTGTACCAGGAATGTTCTTTTTGTAATCATAGAGCATAGAGCATAGAACATAGAACATAGGGCGTGGACTCATCAAACAGATGACATCCTTACCTTGTCAGCTGTCTGAGGTATTTTTGAAAACAGGGACTTTGTTAATATATTTAACAATAGCAAATACTGGACACTCCAGTTTTATCTGAAATAAAGTACTGATTAAATGAGACAATTGTATTTCCAAATATTAGACCAGATATTCAGGAGTAAACACACAATGCCATTTAGAAAGTGGTCAAATGTAACAAATGTCATATTTGGGATTACACTTTCTTAGTACATATTCTAGTAACGTTTTGGGTAGAGTTCCATCTGGGATTCGAACCCACACTGCTAGTCCGGGGCACCTAATCACGGGCACACAAAGTCAGTGATTTAACCCACTCAGCCATGGAGGATTCCACAAATGTAAGTCCGACAACTGATAGTTTAGATCACATACTTTGTGTACCCTTCCGACGAGTGTAAATTTGCATGGCTAACACGGTTGAAAGCTGTGAACACAAATGTCATTTAGAAAGTGGTCAAATGTAACAAATGTTAAATTTGGGATAACACTTTCTTAGTAATGTACAGATTCTAATACTTTTTAGGGTTGAGTCACATCCAGGAATTGAACCCACACTGCCAGAGTGAGGCACTTAATTGCCAGCACACAAAGTCAGGGATCTAACCCACTCAGTCACTGAGGCTTCCACAAAAATGAAAGTCTGACAACTGGTAATCTCGGGTCGATGTCTGCACGTCAAAACAGTACAACCATTGTAAACAAGAGATATAATTTTTCACTTTTAATGATATTTTTTCAATGAAAGTTACCATTTTCATAACATATTTTATTTAAATGTGTAGACTGTGCAAACATGAAATAGAAGAAAACAGTATACTTTTTTGAATGGACTGAGTAAGATATTGTCACATCTTGCTGTACAGATATCTGTGTCCGCAATCAACTCGGGAAGGAGAGTGCATGTGTTGCATGCACTTCAGATGCAAAATAAAACAAATTTAACCACTATCATCATCAGTAAAATGAAAAATAATCTGTTTCTTCGAAATTTATTTACACTCAGATGACACTCGAATAGAAAATATTGAAAAAGGGGTGTGTCATTTCATAAATAGGATCTAGTTTTAACAGTAGGAAGTCTATTGACGACTGAAAAATGATCTGTATGACATACTAATCATCTTAAATCGTCAAACCGTCAATGATAACGACTGCTACAAAACATTTCAGTTTACAGAGTGGAAAATTTGAAATCAGAATCAGAAATCATGTGTAATATGATAGAGTAAAGACGGAAGCGATGTACTCACGTAGTGCTGATAAAATCTGCTCATTCGAGGCTTCCCATGGTTGTTAAATACAAGAATGGCCTTTATCATTGTGAAAACTGTAAATAGAGGGTACCAAAACGCTAAATTTCCATACTAAACACGGACCACTTCCACAAATACAGCTGGCAGCTGACACTATTATAACTTCCGGTACACTAAAGGGACAGTACTCTTGTCTGCTTATCGTTTCTCTTCATTCGATGTATGAATTATTACATCTAGGAGGACGGTCCAATCCTTCAATTTGTCAAAAAATATTATATTTTTGCACAGCATGACGACTGTATTTTAACTTTTTAATGGATGAAATAACTGAGCTAACAAACAGTATGATTAAAACGTAAAGAAACCAAAACATATCTGCTACTATTTCTGTAACAATTATAAAATTGCTCAAACAGATTGGTTGAAAAATGTGTCTTTCGAAGCCTGCAAAATTGTTCACTGCGTAAGAATACTTTTCTTATTTTTTGTTTAATTCAAAGTTTGAAAACGTGGCATTCGGCATTGGGACATGGACATATTAAACTAAATATTTTATAAATATAAATAATATAATTTATTTAATGTTTACATTATTTACCAAATTTACTTTCATTCAATATTTTCTTTACAATCAGTTGCTGCAATATTTGACTTCTTTCTTTTCCTAATTGCAACTAAGCATGAACTTTTGTTGCCATGAAAGTAAATAAGGGAGACCGCCTCCGTGGACAGAGTGTCTGTTCGGGGACCGCCTCCGTGGTGTAGTGGATAGAGTGTCTGGTCGGAGACCGCCTCCGTGGTGTAGTGGATAGAGCGTCTGTTCGGAGACCGCCTCCGTGGTGTAGTGGATAGAGCGTCTGTTTGGAGACCGCCTCCGTGGTGTAGTGGATAGAGCGTCTGTTTGGATACCGCCCCCGTGGTGTAGTGGATAGAGCGTCTGCTCGGAGACCGCCTCCGTGGTGTAGTGGATAGAGCGTCTGTTCGGAGACCGCCTCCGTGGTGTAGGGGATCTGTGGACCACAGATTGTAGACACCTGTATGTAGACTACAAATGTAGACACCTGTCTGTAGACCACAAATGTAGACACCTGTCTGTAGACCACAAATATAGACACCTGTCTGTAGACCCCAAATGTAGACACTGTCTGTAGACCCCAAATGTAGACACCTGTCTGTAGACCACACATGTAGACACCTGTATGTAGACCACACATGTAGACACCTGTATGTAGACCACAAATGTAGACACCTGTCTGTAGACCACACATGTAGACACCTGTCTGTAGACCACAAATGTAGCCACCTGTATGTAAACCACAAATGTAGACACCTGTATGTAGACCACAAATGTAGACACCTGTCTGTAGACCACAAATGTAGACACCTGTCTGTAGACCACAAATGTAGCCACCTGTATGTAAACCACAAATGTAGACACCTGTATGTAGACCACACATGTAGATTCCTGTCTGTAGACCACAAATGTAGACATCTGTATGTAGACCACAAATGTAGACACCTGTCTGTAGACCACAAATGTAGACACCTGTCTGAAGACCACAAATGTAGACACCTGTATGTAGACCCCATATGTAGCCACCTGTATGTAGACCACAAATGTAGCCACCTGTCTGTAGACCCCAAATGTAGCCACCTGTATGTAAACCACAAATGTAGCCACCTGTATGTAGACCCCCTATGTAGCCACCTGTATGTAAACCACAAATGTAGCCACCTGTCTGTAGACCCCATATGTAGCCACCTGTATGTAAACCACAAATGTAGCCACCTGTATGTAGACCACACATGTAGACATCTGTCTGTAGACCCCATATGTAGCCACCTGTATGTAGACCACACATGTCGACACCTGTATGTAAACCACAAATGTAGCCACCTGTATGTAGACCACACATGTAGACATCTGTCTGTAGACCCCATATGTAGCCACCTGTATGTAGACCACACATGTCGACACCTGTCTGTAGACCCCAAATGTAGACACCTGTCTGTAAACCCCAAATGTAGACACCTGTATGTAGACCACAAATGTAGACACCTGTATGTAGACCCCATATGTAGACTCCTGTCTGTAGACCCCAAATGTAGACCCCTGTATGTAGACCACAAATGTAGACACCTGTATGTAGACCACACATGTAGACCCGTGTCTGTAGACCACAAATGTAGACACCTGTATGTAGACCACAAATGTAGACCCGTGTCTGTAGACCACAAATGTAGACACCTGTCTGTAGACCCCATATGTAGCCACCTGTATGTAGACCACACATGTCGACACCTGTCTGTAGACCCCAAATGTAGACACCTGTCTGTAAACCCCAAATGTAGACACCTGTATGTAGACCACAAATGTAGACACCTGTATGTAGACCCCATATGTAGACTCCTGTCTGTAGACCCCAAATGTAGACCCCTGTATGTAGACCACAAATGTAGACACCTGTATGTAGACCACACATGTAGACCCGTGTCTGTAGACCACAAATGTAGACACCTGTATGTAGACCACAAATGTAGACCCGTGTCTGTAGACCACAAATGTAGACACCTGTCTGTAGACCCCATATGTAGCCACCTGTATGTAGACCACACATGTCGACACCTGTCTGTAGACCCCAAATGTAGACACCTGTATGTAGACCACAAATGTAGACACCTGTATGTAGACCCCATATGTAGACTCCTGTCTGTAGACCCCAAATGTAGACCCCTGTATGTAGACCACAAATGTAGACACCTGTATGTAGACCACAAATGTAGACCCGTGTCTGTAGACCCCAAATGTAGACACCTGTCTGTAGACCACAAATGTAGACCCGTGTCTGTAGACCACAAATGTAGACACCTGTCTGTAAACCACAAATGTAGACCCCTGTCTGTAGACCACAAATGTAGACACCTGTCTGTAGACCACAAATGTAGACACCTGTCTGTAGACCACAAATGTAGACACCTGTCTGTAGACCACAAATGTAGGCCCGTGTCTGTAGACCACAAATGTAGACACCTGTATGTAGACCACAAATGTAGACACCTGTCTGTAGACCACAAATGTAGACCCGTGTCTGTAGACCACAAATGTAGACACCTGTATGTAGACCACAAATGTAGACACCTGCATGTAGACCACAAATGTAGACCCGTGTCTGTAGACCACAAATGTAGCCACCTGTCTGTAGACCACAAATGTAGACACCTGTATGTAGACCCCATATGTAGACTCCTGTCTGTAGACCCAAATGTAGACACCTGTATGTAGACCCCATATGTAGACTCCTGTCTGTAGACCCCAAATGTAGCCACCTGTCTGTAGACCACAAATGTAGACACCTGTCTGTAGACCACAAATGTAGACACCTGTATGTAGACCACAAATGTAGACACCTGCATGTAGACCACAAATGTAGACACCTGTCTGTAGACCACAAATGTAGACACCTGTCTGTAGACCCCAAATGTAGACACCTGTCTGTAGACCACAAATGTAGACACACATTGTTCCCATGTCGGGAATCGAACCCGGGTCTTCGGCGTGACGAGCGAACGCTTTAACCACTAGGCTACCCGACCGCCCCACCTGTCTGTAGATCACACATGTAGACACCTGTCTGTAGACCACACATGTAGACACCTGTCTGTAGATCACACATGTAGACACCTGTCTGTAGACCACAAGTGTAGACAACAGTTACTGTCCTAACTGTTACTAATCCAAAACAACTCTTCTTTAAAAAATGTGGTTATGAATCACTATCAAATAATTATGACGGCAGGTGTTCGCGAACAGATGAGCATGTCGTGCGTATTCGTTTAAGAAATGCTTCAGCCAGGTATTTATGCAGTAATCATGTTTAACAACTTCATTGTTCAAACCTCCATATTAAAAATTTGTTTTTGTCTTTTGAAGAAAAGTCACCAATAAAATATTTTACGTTCACTCTCTGTATGCTTAAAATGACAATGGGTATTGATTCAATGCAATAATCTACTAGGAATAACCGCAGATGGATACGTTTCAATGTGACATAAACGATATGCTTCAACCATGTACTCACTCATCACAAATATATTTATCAACTTCCTTGTTCACACTTCACAATTAATAATTTCATAATTCTCGATAACATTAATGGAATTTTCACAGTCCCATGTGATTTCCCAATTTGATACGTGTTTTGGAATATGACCCCCAACAGATCTATGTCATTTCACTTATTTCGAATAATAAGATTTTGATAAAAACCGAAAAATTATTTTATATGCTCGATCAGGGCGTGTTATAAAAAAACATCGGGACCTTAACGAGCGCGTCCATTAATTACAGCACGTGACGCTGACATGTTGTGGAGACATGGGTTGAGTTGGGATTGTTTACACATCGCTTAATAAACCACCCTTCTTGTCACCAGTTGTTTGAAGATACCGTCACTTAAATGTGGCATGTTATTAAAGTTTGTGTTTTTCTCCGATTCTGCATCTGCTGAAACATGGCAGCTGTTGTAAACAGACTCTTGTCATGTTGTCACAGCCATGTTGTGCTTATTTTAAGGCTGAAACCTTTGTGTTGTGTGACGATCTTTTCCCAAGTCTGTTTCAAAATAATACGCAGGTGCGTTTTGGTGATCGGTTAATGCGCTTTTGTTTGTTTGTTGTTTAACGCCGCACTCAGCAATATTCCAGCTATATGACGGCGGTCTGTAAATAATCGAGTCTGGATCAGACAATCCAGTGATTGACATCATGAGCATCGATGACGATGACATGCATCAACCAAGTCAACGAGCCTGACCACCCAATCCCGTTATATAGTCGCCTCTTACGACAAGCACAGTCGCCTTTTCGGCATGGGTTGCTGAAGACCTATTCTACCCCGGATCTTCACGGGTCGAACACAAAGTTGTCTTGCTAACATTTGAGGTGAAATTGGGTTTATTGCGCTTATATAGCAACGAGCATCCACGTGTGTGTTGCATGCTGCAGTTAGCATGGGTATTCCACGCAGACACATCATACTGATACCGGACCGCCTCCGTGGTCTAGTGGTAAAGCGTCCACCAGAGCGGAAGGTCCGGGGTTCGATCCCCGGCCGCGTCATACCAAAAGACGTTTAAAGATAGTACTTGTTGTTACCCTGTCTGGCGCTTGA